ATAATAGAGTAGAACGTTTATTGTAGGGAGAGCATAGGGTAGAGGCATGAACAGGGACATCTGGGAGAGTCCAGAGTGGACATGACCATGTAGAGGGAGGGAAAGGGAAGAGAGGACACCGCTTGCATCAGCCAAGAGGCCAAAAGTACAAAAAGGGACAGGGAACCAAAATGTCTGGATTATATAGGAAAGAGCCTCTTGGGGAAGGACAGCCCAGGCCCTGGGCTAGAGAGTTTGGTGTGGAAAGTGGGTATGCCAGCCACACCCTGTAACAGGCAGGGACTGAGGGATGCTGGGAGAACCTGGAGGCCAGGTCCACTTTGATACGTTAAGCAGACACCTCAGCCATTTGTCCTGGGGTTGAGACTTAGCACTAATGTTGGGTGAGCAAGTCCTGAGACTCACACTTTGCATTCAGACTTCTGACCTTCAGGTCTGTGAGACAATGCACTTATGTTCTTTTACATGTCCTGTCTGTGGCTCTTTGTGACAGCCCAAGTGACTGAATCTGAGATGCAGAAGCCAGCGCATGGCACGGCAGCCAGGAATGAGTGAGGTTCCCAACAGGGAGGGAGCTTTCCTGGTTGAGAATCCTCAGGGCAAGCATAAAGCACGTGCCCTGTCTTGTTTGTGGTTGTAGGCATTAGAGGTCACATAAACTCCAAGGAATCAGCAGGCGAAGTTTGGTTCTGAGTGGCCTCAAGTCTAGGGCAAGCATTTGCAGGAGGACTTGGTGCATGGTGACACCCTAAGCCCACTCACTGCTCAGCTTCCTCTCTGGTGAGACTGATGAGGAAACCCCACAGGGAACATAGTGGGGCACAGGGATGAGGGGGTTGTGCTGAGCTGAAAGGATAATGGTGCAAGGAGGTTTGTCAAAGTGTCCTGTCTAGATCCCAAAGCCCGGCAAGACCACATTGTACATACATTTGTAGGTGTGAGTGTGTGTGTGTGTGTGTGTGTGTGTGAGTGCACACACAAGTCCATGTGTGCCTGTGTCAGTAGGTGTAAGAATGTGTGTGCATGAAAGCCTGTGGGGTGGATTCAAGAGTGTTCACATAATTGCAAGGCATCCTGCTGCTCTGCACGGACACTAACATAGCTTGGAGCAGAGCATAGACCCACGCAAGGTCTGAAGACGGACCCCAGGAGTGTTTACATTCTCTGCAGGGCTTTCTGTGCAAACAAGGCAGGGTGAGCTAAGATACTGTCAGTCCCAGGAGAGAAGCACAAGGGGTCTGTTAGGATTTCACAGAGCTGTGTTGAGTGAACTGTCCTTTCTTAGAGCCGAGAGCACGCTCACTAAAACTCTGCTGACTCAAGCTACTGCTGCTGAGGTGATTTAAGCAACACCAGCCTACACACCGGGTTTATAATTGCCTTACAACTTTAAACCAACCATTTACACATTAAGTACACACAATTACAACAATAATAAATCCAAACTAACAACATTAATTTTATCTGCTAGCTTGTGAAGCCTAGTTGCATCTTACTTGAGTTTAGGATTGAGCATGGCTGAGAGTGTCTGGATTAGTGGTGAGTTCTGGATTCGGAGGCAGTCATTCCCAGCAGGAAGCTGATGGATTTCCCCTGCACAACTCCGTTGGCCATCCTGGCTTTCTTTGACCTCTGTTCCTTCCATAAGCCTTTTGGTCCAGAATTACTCTAAGTTGGCAGTATTTGCTTGTGTGTGGAAATACTCATAATTCATCCTCAGTAGTCTGCACCTCTGTGGCAGACATGGGAAGATGTCTCAGTTTTCTACTTCCAAGTTATCAGGAAGCTAACATGGGAACTTTCTGATAGCCAAGTCCTCACTATAGATGTACAAAATCTAAGTGATGTATTGTGTGATGACATCTCTGAAATCGGAGGGAGGAGTGTGTACTCAGTGGCAACTTATAATAGTTACTATAAGTTAGAATAAACTTAGGAATATGTGGATGGAATCTTAGATAACTATAGGATGCTTATAACCAAATAAAGGTGAGAATATCTAAAATGGTCTATAACTATTTTTGTGTGTATGTATATGTATGTGTGAGTGTGTTTTGCATTCCTCTGTCACACGTATATGAGGGTGACATATATGTATGTATATATATGAGTGGAGGATCAAGGGTGACATGAACGGTCTTCCTCAGTCTCTGTCTCTGTTGTATGTTGAGGCAGGCCTTGTGCCGAATCTGAAGTTCATCTTTTCTACCATCATATCTTTCCGTCTGGCTTGCCCTGAGGATTTCCTGTCTCTACCTCCCTTGGACTGGGATTGTCAGCTTTTACATGGGTTTTAGAAATGAGTATTTCAGCTCTTATGCTTACAGGCCAGGCCCCATACCCTCCCAGCTCAAACTTTTTTTTTTTTTTTTTTTTTTTTTTTTTTTTTTTTTTTTTTGGTGAGATCTGCTATTGTCCAGGCTGTCCTTGAACTAATATATTCAAGCAATCCTCCTGCCTCAGCATCCCCAGGAGCTGGGACCACAAGCACATGCCACCATACTAGCCATAAACAAATGTTCATTTCTAGATTTTATTTCAAAATACCATAAAAGGTTCAGTGACTGTACAGTAAAGTCTGTGCTCTTCACCTTGTGTCTCATCTCTCTGGGCCCTTCTCTCCCCGTGTCTCTCTACAGATACTTTAAAGAAAATGCATTAGATATTATTATTTTTTGTTTCACTCACCTGTTTATTTAAGAGTAGGCTGTCAGCCCCGTGTCTGCTAACAGCAAACCCCAAGTGACAATTTCCACATGTCGTCTTTGGACCCACATCTAGGGAGTTCAGCTCGTGTCAGTATGATCTGTCTGTGTACAAATTTCCCCAGCACGACCAGTGATATCATTTTTAACAATTATTTTCAGGTCCGCCATACTGAGTCTTTTTATCTGCCTGTATTTTGTGCAGCGCCTGCATCTTTCTGCTCAGAGAGTGTTTTATTCACCAAAAATGCAAGGACAAGCCTGAGGTCCCTTAGGTGGCCTGCTCCAGTCCTCCATGCTTTATCTAAGCCCCTCCCTCTAGAGCCTGTTGACTCTAAGGCTCCCTTTTTCTGCCTCCTGGGAATCAGCCCAAAATTTTGGTGTCCAGTCAGCCTGCAGAGTCCTTGGCACCCAAGTGACACTTACTGCTAAGGGTGATGATATAGTTTGAGTAGGAAATGTCCCCCACAGGGATGTGTTGAAGCCTAGGTCTCAGCTGGTGGCCCTATTTTGGCAGGTTATGTTAATGCCCTGGTCTCTGCCTATGAATGCACGGGCGCATGCACACACACATGCAGTCAGGTCCACTTTGAACCTCAGTTTACTCACCGGGGGGCCTTACAGATGGGATGGAATAGGTCACTGGCTCATGCATGTATGTGAAGAGTAGTTTCTGTGCTGTTTTATGGAAGCCTTGGAGGAATGTTTCCATTCTTGGACTGTGGGTCTCAGTCCGACCCTGAACTTTGCTCTCTCTCTCCCCTTGCCCTGTGTGTGTGTCCCTGCTTATGCATTCATGAGTGTGTGTGCGTGTGTATGTGCTCACCTATGCGTGCACATGCGTGTGTATTACTGAGGATCAAACTCAAGGCCCTACACATGCTTGGCAAACAGTATATCACTGAGTGACACACACACTCTTTTGGGGGTGGGGGGGGTCAAAGGAGACAAAGTCTTGTGAAGTTACCTCAGCTGCCCCTGTAGTTGGGATTGCCAGCATGCCCTTAGATCTGCTTGCCTCACTTCTCGCCCTGGTGCCCGACCCAGCAGCGCAGTCTCCCCATCAGGGCCTGCTGGGCTTCCACAGGCTTGTCTCATTGGGGAAGCTGCTATTTCCATCCTGGCTTTCTTCGTGGTCAATCCAGTACCCGGAAGCTCTGCTCCATGGGAGGGTCTCCTGGGTCCCAAAGGACAAAGCCCACTGGCACGATCAGAAAGAATGGATAGTCCATCTTGGAGCCCCCCTAAGGTCAGTATCACCGGTTGGGTCATTACCCACTGGCAGCATCCCTCTTGCTTTGCTCCATGCCTCCCCTGGTCTTCCTCAGTCCCTTGAAGTGGAAGGATGAAGGGCTTTCTGCTTTCTCTTTTCCTTCTTCACCCCCCTCCACTTCCCCTCCCTCCCCTCCTTCTCTTCTCACTCTCATGCCTACTCCTCCTTCTCCTCTCCTCCTCTGGCTTCCAGGGACCCACTTTCAACTAGGACCTACTTGGCCATTGCTCTTCTTTTCTGAGACATCCCTCACAACACACACACACACACACACACACACACACACACACACACACACACACAGAAGCCCCAAATAAAATGCACCAAACGGTTGCTGATGTTCACTGTCAGGAACTGGGTGCCAAACTTCAGCCTGATTTGTGAACACCCCAGGAAGGATGGGACCATTGCCTTGCAACAAGCAACAGATTGAAGACTCCGAGGCACATGAGTTACAGACCTGTTCCAGGCTCTTACTCTGAAAGCGCCTTAACACCTGCAAGGCAGACCGAAGGACGCAGAGCCCCAAATGACTCTTTCTGCCCATAGTTTCCACGTATTTTGAACTCTTCTGTGTGAGCCCTTTAACTTTCCAAGGATTCTCACCCAGCTCCATCTCCTTCTCCAAGGCAGCAGTGGAAAGCTGTTTCTCAGCTGCTGTGAGTAGGAGTGCCTAAGGAGTAGCATGGGGGGGGGGGGCGTCCAGGGTCAGGGTTTGTAGATGAATCCAGTGCGAAGGCACCTGGACCCCTCTTAGAAATAACCGACTTGGGGACAAGGAGATCTGAAGGCCCCGGGGAGACCACAAGGTCCTCCTGGCAGCCCCAGCTCTGTATGATGTGACTCTCCAGGGTCACCTCAGTTTTCTCATCTGAGACATGGGCGTGGTGAAAGGGGACACCATGGGCTGGCCTAGCTAGCGCCTGGAGAGGCCACTCCTCCTCCCCCCAGCTCGGCGCAGACCCAGGGACCTAGCAGCGCCGGCCGGAGCTGAAGGCCGAGGGGCGGGGCGGGCTGGCCTGGCGGCGCCGCTTTCCCGAGTCACCTCGCCGGGCGGCTGCGGGAAGATGCGGCTGCGGCTCCTGGTGCTGGTGGTGGCTGTGCTGCTGGGTCCGGCCCCGGGTAAGCGCGGCTCGGCGGGCGGCTGCGCGGGAGGCCGGGGCTCCAGCGGGAGGGGAGGCCAGGGCTGCGCGGGGTCCTGGCGGCGCACTCCTCCCGGCGATCGCGGCGGCGCAACGGCGCCAACTCAGGTCAGCGGTTCTCTGGTCCTGCTGGCGTCCCGCGGTGGGAACTTGCTCCCGGGACAGCTCCGGGTCCCCTTTGAGCCGCAGGCCGCGGAGCTTAGGTCGAAGAAAGCCTGATGGGAGCCCTAAGTTGGCGGCTTCTTTCTGTCTTCTGCAACAGTCAGGACCCGCAGCTGCTGCCAGCACCAACTTCCCTTTATCTTTGGAGACGCTCCGAAAATGAGGCCAGGAATGACTGGACCTTCCCAGTCGGGTGAACACTGAGGACTTACTCGTGAGTCTTCTGAAATGGTCAGATCAGTTTAGACAAGGTGTCCTCGGCTTGGCTTCATGCAGCAGGCGCCTTTTCCACGAACACTCCTGTGGGGGTCACGTCTGCTAGCTTGCACGGAGCTTTGTGGCTCCCACGTATAGTCACCGAAGAACCTTCTCCTCTTGGTTCCCCAGGACCATGCTGGCTAGAAAAATAGCAATGGATACATTAGTGCCTCTCCTTTCCCCGGTGACTACCTGTGACAGGCGAACATTACCTCACTTAATCACAGTCGTGTTTCAAAGCAAGAGCATCAAGTATTTACTGATTCAAGTACTTCGCAAAACATTGGCTCAGTTTGTCGGCCTACCAACCTCTGAGGGCAGTGCAGTTTTACCCCCATTTAAAAAAAAAAATAAAGAAACGGAGGTACAGGCCTGAAAGGCGGAATGCTTTATATTCTGTCCTGGATGTATCCAGGGCCATCCATAGCCTCTGCTTCTGTGCCCCTCACCTTGGGCCTGTCGTCCACTCTTTGAAATGCCTCCGCCACGACTCCTCACCTCATTTGCAAGGTAAAGCCCAGCATATCCATTTGAAGTATAAACCCTCGCTCCCACCTCCATTTGGGGAGAGAATGGGAGTTTATTGGTCTCGCAATCCCACCATTCATCTCACAGAAAAGGAAACTGTCAGTCAGAGTACTTACTAAAAGCCAAACTATGGTAGAGGCTGGTGGTTTTGAGTTGTCTTTGATGTCAGAAGTCCTAGATTTGAATTTCATCTCTGCAATTTGTTCTGTGAGCTTCAACAGGTTGTTTGGCTTTCCTGGGCCTCAGTCTCGGCTGTAAAATGAGAATTAGCAGCTAACATGGATAAACTGAGAAAATATATCTAGTTGCCTTAGGACTGCGCTTGGCCTGCACCCTTGAGCAGATGTCCATCTCTGTCAGTGGGCAAGGCAGCGTTTGCCCTGGTCTGCAGGTGTTTTTAGGTGAGGGTTCACAGCAATAACTTGTGGGCTAGGTCTGGAGCCCCCTCTGCTTTTTGCTCCTCCTCAGAAGCCCCTGATGCTGCAAACCACGCAAGCAAGGTCTTGTGATGCAGAGATTGGCTGTTGTGAATCACACACCACTCCGCTGTCACTTAGAAGCTCCTGGCTCCTGGAAGTGAGTGGAGCACATCTTTAGGCAGGGATGAAAGAAGGCCATAGTGCCATGCCCACCTCCGTGGCCGGCTTGGAGCCGTGTCTACTTCTGCATCCGGGGAGAAGCCTTTGCTCCCTGTAGCTAGGGCTGCTGCTTCTGGAGAAGACAGTGCCCTCTGGGGCTCCACGACAGTTCTCTCAGAGAGCTGTGTTTGTCCTTTTCATGACATCACCAAATCACAAGGTAGGGGTTAGACTCAGAATCTCAGCCTCAGGAACCTGAGGTTCATGCAGAAGCACAAACAGCAGTGTAACTTCTGGGACCCTGTGCAAAACAAAAGTTTAGGGGATCTTCCTCAAAACTTTCAAGCAATGATCAGTAAAGGCTAAGCCAGTAGCCTGCAGCTCTTGCACCCAGGGAGCCCTCCCTGCTCCGGGGCAGTGTGGGGTCACATTCTACTGCTCTTTGCCCACAGTTCACACATGCAGACTTAGAGCTTGCAACAGTGCAATTCTTGCACTAGCCATGAAAGACACCACGTTCCCACTTTTCAGGTGAGGATGCCGTTGACACTGTAGTTGCATTCTCTCTCCTTTGTTCTGAGGACAAGCTGTCTCACCCACTAGCCTCTTAGCTCCATAAGGTCAACAGAGACAGTGGAGTCAAGTCCAAATGAGGATGTATGAGGGAGCCTACCTCTCACCTTAGTTCTCTGCAGTGCATACTCATAAAACAAACATTTCCTTCTGCTTCAATCTGATGTGACAGTTTTTTAGGTCAGGGAGTAAGGGTCAGCCCTGCCTAGCTGCTACGTTATGTCAGCTGGAGGAGGAGGAGTTAGTGACATCTATCCTGTGTGGTCCCACATGCTGAGCCAGCATGCACTCGGCATACCTCCCTGCCTTCAGATTGGGCATGCTTTGCCTTTCAGTTTGTCTGGCCCGTGTGTCCACTTCGCACTGTCTTGCCTCCTGTTGCTTACCCTACCCCCCTTTCTGCTGAGCCACAAGGGACACAATGACCATGGTTGGGCAGCAGCTGTCAATCTTCTCTCCACAAGTATTGAAATAAGTACTTAAGCTTTGTCTATGCTTGTCTGCACTCCCCACCCTCCTGTACTTTCTTCCTTCTGGGCTGAGCCTGAGCTCCAGCTGTCTGCACGTCAACCGAACCTCCATGTATATATGCTTGGCATAAGGAGCCTCCACTTCGGTGCTGGAGGGTGATGCCCATGGCACCTGGAGTTGACAGGGACTTTCAGCAAAGCTTTTCTGAGGTGCCTAGCTATCTCAGGTTCAATGTCTACACACACACAGTGTGTGTGTGCGTGCGTGTGCATGTTGAGGAGGGTGGTAAGTAAAAGGTTGTGGTGAGCTTTCATCAACAGGATTGTATTCATTTGCCTGCTGCCACAACAAGTGGCTTTCACAACAAACAAGGGGTAATATCTGAGATCAAGATGTTTGGTGGTGTGGGGGCTGGTTCTCCCATCTCCCAGGGGGGGGGTCCACCTTAAGGATCTCACTTAGCCTAAGCTTTACCTCCAAATACACCCACATTTGAAGGTACTGGGAGTTAGTACTCTGATGTATGGTGTATGCATGTAGCCTGGGGTATGCAATTCAGCCCCTGATGAATGCCTTTGCACTCCTATGGGAGACACCGATGTTTGGACCATCTGTAAGAAAACATGAGGTGGAAGGAAGGCAGAGGGCATGCTGCTAGAGAGAAAAGGGTGCTCTCTGAGGAAGTTAGCTCAGCCCCTTTGCTTTCTGAAGCTGGGGATAGGGCTTTGAGCCTGAGCCACAGGACAACAGGATGGGGAGAACTGCTAGTTTGCCTCCAGGATGGAATCTGGCCTCCCATGGGGACTGGAACACTTGGCACATTCTCTTAGTTTCAGTCACTATAAATAATTCCCGATTCACGCAGAGTTAGCAGGAGGAGCCTGGAGCATAGGGTTCAGTCTGCTATCATCCCACCCATGTTGTTTCCATTTCCTCTCTTCCCAGCCCCTCTGGCTCCACTGGGGAGCCTTTGGGGGTGGGTCAGGCTGGCCTTGGATGCTGTAAGCCAGCTGCTGCATTTTGGCGCTCTCTCTTCTGTCCACTTCTCACTGGCTAATGAAATGGAGGTCAGCCAGGGGTCCCAGCCGCCTCCTTATTCCCCATGGAACTCCCACAGGAGGCTATCTGCATTTGAGATGAGCCTCAGCCATCAGGAGGAAGTGCTGTCCACATGGGCCAGGTGCCAGCCAGGTGGGTGTGATGCACGGAAGATGTGGGACACTTCTGTGTCATTCTGGTTGACTTCTGGTAGCAACGGCACCATTCCTGGGGAAAGCAGAGAGCAGCCCACAGGGCACTCCCAGATAACCCAAGGGCTTTGACCTAACCAAATCAGTGCAGATGCCTTTTGCCATGTAAAGTGACACTTAAGGTCCCTAGGTCTGAGGAAGGACTTCTCAGAGGCCTGTTGACCTGTATTTTCCATGTGTCACCTGGCCTGGTTTTGCCCCTCATTCCTGGAAAGAGAAGACTGAGGACCTCACACAGGGGCATAGTATCCAGCCTTTCATTACATCAACCAACCAAAGGCTGTCAAGGTGTGGAGTGCTGAGCAATCTCCCCCTGGCGAAAGCTACCTTATACAAGGAAGGGACTGATGGATACAACTGAGTTAAAGTTGTTACATTTTTCTGTAGGGTTCTGAGTTTAGCATGCATTGTCTAAGAAGGGCAAAGGATAGAAGATTGATCCTTAGAACATAGCCTTTCAAATGATAACTTATTTAAAATAACCGAGAGCATGACTGCTGTGGTTTGAATGTGGCTTTTCTCCTCAGAAACTCAGGTTGGAATTTGATCTCCATTGTGAGATCCTAAGAGATGAGGCCTTTAAGAGGTGGTCAGGACTCTTCTTCATGAATGGATGAATCCATTCATTCAATCAATGACTGTTATTATGGGAATGGGTATTTTGCAAAAGCATTTGGCTAGGTCCCTCAAACAACCCCGGTCTTGACATATGATGGCCTGTGCTACCCTGGGACTCTTGCAGAAAGCTGTGGTTTAGAATGTTTCTGGGACAAGTGCATGGTGAAAGGGCCCCTCCCTTGAGCTTCTGGGTGGCATAGCTGTGCCGCATCCACCATGGTGTACCGTCAGACATGCTTCATGGGAAAGGTACCAGTGTTCGGCTTCTCCAGCTTCAGCTAGTCTGGATGGTCGGGTGGGTATTGTGGTGCTTCACTGAAACTCAGGAGTAGTAGGTGTGGACTACCCCTAGATTGGTTTAAACTAAGGAGTCAAAGGGCAGGTTTTAGTGGAAAGGGGCTGGAATTCTGAGGCATCTTTTGGGGGGCATTAGGAGAGTGCCATTTCCTTCCTGGTTCTAGAGGCGCCTTCCTTCATTTTTCACTTTAGCTTGTTTGTGTGATTCAGTTCCTGAGTCCAAAGCCACGGAGAATCCCGTGTCAGTCCAGCACACTAGTGCTAGTGTAGCGCTCTGCTTGACCATTACTGCCTAGAGCTGGACTCACTGACACTAAGAGAGTGAACAAGGAGGAAGGTAGACAGGTTCAGTCTCCTGGTTGATGAGCCATCACAGGATGCATCTCGGGCCTGCCTTAGGCAGCTCTGACCACAGCCCTGTCAACACAGACTAAAAACACACATTGGGGAGGCTAGTAGAGAAGATGAGAATGAGCTGAGTTTTCAAGAGATTCTTCAAGTCCTGATTCATACGTGTGATCTTGGTTTTCGTGGCAGATTAGAACATTCTGGAGAACATGCCTGTTCAGATGGCCAGGGTTTCGCATACCATGTGAATGAGAGCCATAGGAATGTGAGAGCCCATGAGGCCCGTAGAAGAGCCATAGTGGGACTGGGGAGTGAGCATAGACAATACTGAGACCACTGCCTCTGGCTCTGCAGAGCATCCAGAGACCAGCAGTACGCAACCCGTCCCTAGCTCCTGGCAATGGCATGGCTTCGTGAACTCAGGCTGCGGCCTTCATTCATGGTTTCTCCCTTTTTCTTTGCAGAGGTGTGTGGCGCTCTCAATGTCACTGTGTCCCCAGGACCTGTAGTTGACTACTTGGAAGGGGAAAATGCCACTCTCCTCTGCCACGTCTCCCAGAAGAGACGGAAGGACAGCTTGCTGGCGGTGCGCTGGTTCTTCGCCCCTCATGGCTCCCAGGAGGCCTTGATGGTGAAGATGACGAAGCTTCGGGTGATTCAGTACTATGGGAACTTCAGCCGTACTGCCAACCAACAGAGGCTGCGCCTGCTCGAGGAGCGTCGAGGAGTGCTGTACAGGCTGTCTGTCCTGACACTCCGGCCAGCAGATCAAGGGCAGTATGTCTGCAAAGTGCAAGAAATCAGCAAGCACAGGAACAAGTGGACAGCTTGGTCCAATGGCTCCTCAGCGACAGAAATGAGAGGTGAGAGTGTGGCTGGGGTCCCCGAGGAGGTGCAGCATGTAGCAGAGCAGGGGTCCCGGCTTCTGTCATTATACAAATGCTGGTGTGACTCTGCTAATGCAGTGCAAGTCTTGTGGCCTCTGTGGGCCACAGGCCTGTGAGTCAGGTCGTGAGCATGAGGACAGATCTTGGACACTGTGGCTGATATGGAATGTAGATATGGAAGGAAGGCCAGAGGAATGAGTGACTACGTCCCTCCTAGTCATGTCCTGCTGGAAGTAGTGATCTTTGTATGCTGTCAGATAAAGAAAGTTGGACCCTGCTTAGCGGCCAGAGGCCTGTTAAGAGAACGGCCTGAACTGCACTTTCTTTGGACTAGTACTGGGACTTCGTGGTTCTAAGAGAGAATGGAGGAAATGGGGGAAGGCCACAGCATGGGACATAGTACACTGAGTCAGGGAACTACATACGCTTTAGAGAGCAATGGTCTTTGTTACCTTTCTTGGTGCCGTGTCCAATTACCAGACAGAAGTCATCCGAGGAAAGATTTCTCCTGGTTTATTTTTTAGTGTTCAGGATGCAGCCGCTTGGCCCCATGCAGCAGGTCAGGTTGCCATGGCGGCATGGGATGTGGTGGCGGAGGCCAGCTGCTCATAGCCAACACAAAGCCAAGGGCGCGACAGGAAGAGCATGGGGATGATACACCTCCAGGGACCCCCTTTCTCCAGCTAGGTTCTACTGCCCAGAGTGTCTGCTAGCTCAATTAGCACCAACGGCGAGGGACTGTACTTGAAAGTGCATTGGGGGACATTTCAGATCCAAAGGATAATGATACTGAAAAGCAAGTGTGTCTTTGGCCCATAGGGAAATGTCTCAGTATAAGAAGCTTCCAGAAGCAGAATCCTTCCTCCTCACAGAGGCTGGAAGATGGCATGTCATCAGCCATGAGGAGGAAAAGGGTGGTCTCTGGACAGCTTGAGTTTTCTCAGGTGGGCACCGTATGCCAAGTGCATGATCACAGGCCCGTACATGGCCTTGAACTGTAGCTACTGTGCCTGTTCAACTGTTCCTGGGCCAAGGCTGAGACTCCTTAAGAAATCCCCAAGGGACTAAACTAGAATTTGGTTAGGGAACAGAACTTTGACAATTCTCAGCCAACTGTTCAGATCTGTGTCTTCATGGCCACCTTACCTGGGGAAGCCTCATACCCCAAAACGGGTATGTGGTGGGAAGGTCTGATATAAACTTAGCAGCCCTATAAATGGGACAGCCTTGTGTTCCTGATCTGCTGCTGGCTTGGGTCTCAGCTAACTGTGAAGTTTGTGAGGAAGGGCAAAGGCCCCGGGGTAGCCCTCCCTTCTTGCCGGCAGATAGGAGATGAGTTTGCAGTTCCCAAATATTTTGGCTACCGAACACCATATGGGAAGGTTTTTGAGAAACCTCAGTACAGGTTTCCAAAGTGGCCACACCCCTTTACCCTTCCCCCAACACTGTATAAGCACTCCCTGTGTTCCTGGTGGCCATTCCGATTGGGGTGTGATGGAGTCTTTAATGTGGTTTTAATCTGCATGTTCTTGATGTCTAAGGGACTTGAACACCTGAAAGTGTTTCCTAGCCATTTGTGTTCTACTGGGAACTTTCTGTTCAGTTCCACTGCCCATTTTTTCCCCCAGTGGCGTTGCTTTCTTGGTGTTTAGTTCTTTGAGTTCTTTGTATAGCCCAGACACTGATCCTCTGTGTAGCTGCACAGATTTTCTTCCATTCTGCAGGCGGTCTCCTTGTTTGTTGACTCTTCCCTTTGCTGGGCAGCAGGCCTTTAGTTTCTTGAGGTCTCATTTGTCATTTCTTGGCCTTCATTCCTGCACAACTAGGGTCCTACTCGCAAGGTCCTTACGTGTGCATATTCCCTACTTTTTTTTCTGACAGGTTTTAGGTATCAAGTCTTATATTGAGGTCCTTTATCATTTTGGAGGCGAGTTTTGTACAGGATAAGTGATAAAGATATAGCTCTTCCCCCCCTCCCCCCGTATGTTGAGTCCTTTTTCTCAGTACCGTTTGTTAAAGGCTCTGCCTTTTTCCCAGTGTGTGTGTGTGTGTCTTTGTCAAAGGTCAGGTAAGCTATAGTCCCATAGACTATATATGGCTCCTCTGTTCTGCTCCGTTGATCTACTTGTCTGTTTTGTGTCTGCGCCATGCTGTTTTCATTGGTATGGCTCTATAGTGTAAATTGAAATCAGGCATGGTGACACCCCTTTTTGTTCAGCATTGCCTTGGCCTGTTCTTTTGTGTTTCCACATCCATGTTGAGATTGTTTTTCTTATGTCTGTGAAGAAAGGAACTGGCATTTTGATATGCTTTTGGTAGTGTCTTAGTTGCTGTTCACTTGCTGTGGAGGGTCACCGTGGGCAAGGCAGCTCTAATAAAAGAAAGATTTATCTGGGGGCCTGCTCACAGTTTTGGAGGGTTAGCCATCATGGCGAGATTAGAAAGACATGGCACTGGAGCAGTAGCCGAGAGTTTTACATCATGATCTACAGGCAAGTGGGCAGACAGAGGCACTGGGCCTGGTGCGCATGGGCTTCTGAAAGCTCAAAGCCCATTCTCAGTGACACACCTTCTCCAACCAGGCCAGTATACTGCAACAAGACCTCAGTTCCTAATCTTCCTCAAAGTGTTCTACCGACAGGTGACTACGTATTCACATATATCACCCTATAGGGGCTATTCCCATTCAAACCACAAGTAGGTGACCATTTTAACAGTTTTCATTCTGCTGACCTATGAACTAGGAGGCTCTTTTCATCTTCTAGTGTCTTCCTTGATTTCTTTCTTCAGTGTATTAAAGTTTTCATTATACAGGTGCATTGTTTCCTTAGTTATACTTATTTCCTGGTCTTTTATGACTTTTGTGAATGGAATTGTTTTCCTGATTTTTATACACACACACACACACACACACATGAAATATATATGTTATATGTTTTACATATGTTAATTTTGTATCCTCTCACTTTGCTGAAAGTATTTATCAGCATTTTTGTTGGAATCTTTAAGATCTCTTATGTATAGAATCAAGTCATATGAGGATAGGAATACATTGACTTCCTCTTTTCCTATTTGTATACTTTTTTTTTGTCTTATTACTCTCTAGCCAAAACTTCAAGCTCTATACTACACTATACAGATGCTTCCCGTTTGTGGTGATTTGTGTAGTCTGACTGCCATTCTTTTCTATTGTGGTATTCCTTTTTCAGAAGTTGCTTTTACTTAGGTGTAATTTACACTTGATGAACTACACAGAGTACCTTTTGGTGTCGAATCTTGGAAAGTATTTCCAACCACATGCCAGCATGCTTATAAAAGCATTTGTAGGGCAGTTGCAAAGGGACAGAGAGATGAGTGGGATTGGAGTTCATAATGTGAAATTCACAAAGAATCAATAAAGAGTTTTTTTTAAGTCCTCAGAATTTTCTCTCATACTTTAAATGTTAAAAATTACATTCTTACCTCTTTGAAATCCATTTTATTTGATTTTTTATTTTATGTGCATTAGTGTGAAGGTGACAGATCCCTTGGAACTGGCATTACAGACAATTGTGAGCTGCCATGTGGATGCTGGGAATTGAACCTGGGTCCTTTAGAAGAGCACACAGCGCTCTTAACCACTGAGCCATCTCTCCAGCCCCTGAAATCCATTTTATATGAAGATAATTTATTTTTGTTTCCAACTATTCTAATTATTAGAGAAGTCCCTCCATTATCAGTGTTTCAGATATTTCAAATGTTATTTTATTATTTTTATATTATTTGTTTTTCTTTAAGTTAATCTTGAGAAACAACTAACCCAGTTTTCTGGCTGTTGTGTTAGGTTTTGATTGGCATATTGACTTTAAAAATTACCATTGTGTTGATATATACATTTATATATTTTGTGTTTTATGTGGTTATGAAAAAAAATGTCTGAGGTTGGGTTTCAATAAGGAAAATGGGTTTATATAATTCACAACTTTAGAGTCTAAGAGTCGAAGATTAGGTGGCTGCATCTGCTTGGCTCTGATGAGAGAGATCTTGGCTGCAACAAAATATGACAACAGGCATCATGATAGGAGCATGTGAAAGAAAGGGTGATTACATGGTGAGACAGGAAGCCAGAGGGAACTTCAAAGCCATGTTTGCTCTTTCTGTAGCAGTCAACTTAAAAAAAAAAACTAACTGAGGTCTACAAACAAAACAAAAACCCCATTA